ATTTTTACAGATTCACAGCAGCCTGTATTGCGTCGGGAAATATCTGTCCAGTGAAAACTCTCAATTTTTCGATGTCGCCTCTTGCAGTATCAGCTCTACTCTATTTACTCTACAATGGTTCGTGTTTACCATTAAAATTCTCACAGTGTTATAACTCAGATCTTATGAGCTGGCCTACATTTTCTTAATCCCGAAGGCTCATTTTTTCCGAATTGCTTCACTAACCCATGCAGGCTGCAAAATATGGGGATAGTGGGTGCAAAACAATTTTTGTACGCCTCTTTAATTCTTTTTTCTACACTCTGAGTAGTTTCGTTTTTGCTTAATTGTTGGCTTCAGATTACTTTATGTTTGCTGCTCACTAGATAGTTTTCCATATTCTCTATCATTTCTTCTTTACTGTTTCAGACTTGCCATATTATACCAAGCTTAAACTCTCGTAGAGGTATATGCCTGTAATAAAAACAAAAGAGCGGTCTGGGACTAATAGCTGTGTATATGTTTCAGGTCTAGGCAAGAAAGCCAAACAAGAAATTCTGGAGATGCTCGAAATGAAGAAGAAGGATATTCGCAAAGTTGCAAAAGGTTGGCAGGAGCTTGCTTTAAATTGGATTCTCGAGTAGCTTTGTCATTGGTTGGAAACTTGGTTTTCTCTGACTAAGCAGTCGCAGGACCTTTTCAACGGGCAGAATAACTTTTAGATTCAACGAAAGCTGCTTGTGAAAAATGTTCAGCTTCTTTGTCACAGCATCTCTTAATTTTAACAGTCAATTAGACGGAAGAAGGTTACATTCACACTAACTAAAGCTTTCGCGTAACTTAGATTGAAGATGATAGTAGCCAACTGCGACAAGAAAGCTTTCTCTTTAAACAACGGAAGAACCGATTCATTCGAAGATGTGCTATTATCGTAACTTGTTCTTCCCTTCTCCACTCTTTCCACACTCCTTTTCAGATGTTCCTCTTCCTGCTTAGTTCCTTTTCAGTTTTTATTCCTCTCCTATTTTGGAAAAAATGAATTAAATTTAGAATTCGATGAGCTTCTGGCTGCGTTTGAAAACTGGCGCAAAGCAGCTGCCCAGAATTTAGTGCTCGCATTCGACGCTTACATGGATGCCGCATGCAAAATCAGCACTGATTGTAATAAGCTTATTGAAAGTACATTCGGCAAACAGGTTCACTCACTCATTCGCAAGTTTATTAATTTCACTAATTTTCCCCTTGCCACTTCCGCTTGGACAACTACGACAAACAGTTGGAGATGGACGAGAAGTACGGGAATGGTAGCAACTGGAAGGCAGTTTGAACACTTCCAAGAAAATCAATTGCAGGCACAAAATATGGACATCAATCGGTTTCTGAAAACAGTTGAACAATCAAGGGTACCTTCTTTGGGAAAGCTGTCGATTGGTGATGCCAGATTAACTGCCATTGCAATTGCTGCTGTGGAAGTGCTGTGGGATGCTACAGAGGT